TCTTTCCAAACATTAAGTTAATGCAAGCAACTTGTAAAAGATTTCTTTGTTAGCTAAAGCATGGGGAAAAATTAAATGGAGAAGCATAATGCCTATTTTTTTCTCATGCCTGAAGTTCAAAATAAACTCCTTTATAAAAAAATTGCTCTTTTTATTACAGAAGATTAAAGTTTTACATGTTAATAATGCATAAGATAAATCCTTTGCCACCTATCAAACTGAATCACAGTTCTGGAGTCTCTCTTCCCTACCACTAATATTCATACAAGTGAAACTTTGAGCAATAGTATTTTAAAGCAATTCTAAAATGCAATGGCATCATTACACTTGTAATAAGCTATAAAATCATAAAAACATGAACATATCCAGTTAATGAACTGTATACAATATACAGGGTGAACTGTATACTATGAAGCCTGCCCTCCAGATAGGATTAACCCCTTCATTCACAAATAATTTGGATGGCTTAACTATCGTCCTGCTGTTTGTAACAGCTGTGGTACATTCTATTGCCGGTGCTGCATCAACACAGCTAACAGGTTGTATATATATATATCTTATCCCACTGTGGTGGGATAAGAAACACATGGATTTGGCAAGCCCTGCAGGGCTATCAAGCCTTAAGTTTATCTTTATGTGAATACTTTTCTTTACTTGCCTCCTTTTCCCAAAGGCCTGGTATGACCCATCCCCTAAAGCTCTTACTGATGTTACCAGGGAATATTTGTAGACAACACTCCAATGCCTGAAATCCTCCTTGGACCCATTAAAAAAAAAATACAGCTAACAAAAAAATAATATCAAAAGAAGATCAGATTGCACAAAAATGGTACTAATGTTGTCATGAGTATTTTCCCCTTAGTTCTCCTAGTCACCCTTTTTTTCCATCTCCTTTGAATTCTCCTTTCATTTTTTTTTTTAAAGGCAAGTATGCTATGCGGGACCTGGTCCATCGACTTCCTGGTGGGAACAACAGCAACAGCTCAGCAAGCAAGGCCATGTCCGATGACACCGTTACTGCCATTTGCTGCACTCTGCATGAAGTCATCACAAAAAACATGGAGAACGCCAAGGCCTTACGGGACGCAGGAGGCATTGAGAAACTGGTTGGCATTTCCAAGAGCAAAGGAGACAAGTATGTTTTGCAAATCACCTCACACCTTTTGGTAACATCTCTGAGAAGTATAGTTAGTTCTGACTGTGTTTGTCTTGCTGCGTTATTTAATTTCATGAGAAATCACATGTATTTCATGAGAAATCACATGTATTTAATCACCTTGCCAAATGACAGAAAGGAGGCAGGAAACACCTAGGCCCTGACATGTTTTTGACTTACTGTCACTGGTAATATGCACTGTGCTAGGATCCATATAATTTACAATAACTTCTAACACGAAACCTCTCCAGGAACCCATTATAAATATCAGGTGCTAGACCAAACCATTAGGCCTCTACATTGTGTAAGTGTACACCTGGAGCAACCAGGAAAAAGCCAACTAGACTGTAGCCCACAAAGTCCTTATTTCTCCTTCCCCTTCCAAAATCCTTACTCCCTTTCTGGCTGCAGTGTATTGCTCACCTTACTCTGAGACATTTACCCTGGGTGGTGAATGATGAGGTAGAAAGAAGGTTCCTCCCACTCACTGGCTTATGAGTGCCAATGGGTGTAGAAGTCCCACACAAGCAGGACACTTCTAGAAGCACCTATGAACACTTCTAGAAGCACCTATGTTTTTCCAAAACAAACACTATGA